ATATTAACCACGACAAACCATCCGAACGTTAGCATCTTACCAATGCATCACCACACTCCCCCCGAGGCAATCCTCATAAGATTGCACGTCAAAGAGCAAACACTCACATTCTTGCACACGTTTTCTCATTGCGAGTCGTCGCAACTTGGAATGCTCTCCCAGACAAGGTAACCACAGCCGCCTCAGTGGACTGCTTCAAAAAGAGACTTGATAATCACGTACTCACATACGGAGTGTCATCTCCCTCTTCGACAAGCTGTTCATGATGCACATCTTGAGACCTGCTAGTTGTTATTATTGCCATCTCCTCAGATCACTCAATCATTCTATCTCGCCTATTATCTCTGTTTTCTCTCCCTTGCTAACACTTCGGTCCTCTCTCACAATCTTCACTACCTATTAACAAACTAAATTCATTTATATATTACTCAGTACTGAAATTTTATTCACATTATCGTTATAATCTTATCCTTTTTACTCTTATTACTCTCCAAATTGCAACTAACTGATCTCCGGTTTGGTAATGTGATGGCTGCTAGTATCCAGAAACCCTACTGCCCTGGAACAAACGTTTCATTCAAATCCTGAGACACGTAAACTCACAACCAACTGACTAGGATTAGACATCCATTGAACATTACCGAACACCTGGAACCGTACTGAACGAACAAGAATTGAGCGCGAAGAAATCGAATTGGTTTACACTAGCTCGTGAAAAAGATATTGGATATTGGAGAACATGAGACCAAATTCGTCATAGTAAATTTCTTTTTATACCTCTGTATAACTCTCTTTTATCCACTAATATCACTTCTTTCATTTCAAGTACATGAAAGGTTATTCCTAATCCTGTGAACCAACGCTATTTACTACATTTTAAAGCTTTCTATGTTCAGACCAAGTACAACAAGCTTCCCTAGCTAGGACTCTGGAATCTTGGGTAATCGATGTGTGCTGACTCTTCAAGAAACACATCCAGAATATCAGTAAAATCATTCATTTGACCTCACTATATCAGTATAAAGAATCAAATCGATTTTTAATTCGTACATCTGGTAGCTCCACTCCTACTTACTATGAATTATTGAGGAAACATGTATTCGAAATCACACAATTAGCTAGAATCGATGGGTAGTGGTCTCTTCAGCTGACCTTTAATCAGACTTTGGTTGCCGGCCATCTCCAGTCGACATGAATGTCAAATCCACGCAAGTCCTCCGACTCCAAAAGAAGTTAAAAAAGCACTAAAAATCTGAAGCAATGGAGAGCGGTGTAGATGAATTTTCTACCCTAGCAGTTCACTTTGATTCCAGTAGGTGTAGGTCGAACGCGCTATCCCCCCGGTCCAATGTCAAAACACAATAATTCTAGGAGAAAGCGGTCTATTTTTATAATAAAATGGAAATACAAACAGTTACCTGACAATTAATACACCTTTCAAGTCCAAATTACCCTGATGGGTATCCAAATCCAAAAGAATAAGTGATACTAGTATTAACTGCCACGGTATCAAATCCAAATATGGCTGTAGCCATATTAAATATCAAATTTAAACAACATATGTACAGTTCAGAAGCAAACATAAAAACTTCAATATAAGTACGAAATATGGAAATAATAACAATATACAATGGTAAAATCTCAAAATGGAATCAAATAAAGTACCAAAATGTCAACAGAAAGAGTCACTCATATCATAATACAAATATATATACATGGAGGGATTTTCCAAAAAACAAAACATTCAAAAAAGATTCTACAAGCGGTGAGCACGGATAGGTTAACCCCTGAGACATTCATAAATGGTAGTCCAGTTTTAGCCTTCGGATCGACTGACATCTTCGGTGTAATCTGTTTACTGGGCATTATCACATCTGACTGGTCTCAATCACTAATCGTTACAGCCCACAACAAAGGAGGAATGTTCTCTTGTGACAATCACGGATGAATCATTTGAACATAGATGTTGGATCCCCAGAACTCGCTTGATAAATGCTTTATTTTTGATTTCACATTTGCGAGCATCGGTTGATCAGTTGACCTTCAGATTTCATTTCCCACCAGGAAATTCCATGGCTGTGATTGGCTGCTGTGTATTTTAGTTTGCAATTTTCGTAACCGTCTCAAGGACGTTTCTATGATGTATAAATTAATGAGAGTTGTGTGCTTGATTTATTGTGATCGCTTGGTGTTTTTAGAATAAACTTTCTGCGCTTACAAAGACTTCTGTTACAGCTTGGGATTCAGGGTAGCCTATCTGGAATCTGGTAACTGTCTCGTTCGCGTTTATCGACTAAGGTGAACCCATAATAGCTTAAAGCATACTTAGGGGGCATTTGATTTGATCGTGAGGTACTGTGAAAATGTCTTTCATTGAAAAGTGTTCCAAAAAATTACATTGACCGTATACAAGCCCCTTACCTGAACTCTAGTGGTCGAGTCAGGACGTTTGGTGGACTGTTATCGGAATTGATTAGTTCCAATGATGTCCGTCAGGGAAGTCACTTTTTGCACTCTTGTTAAAGTTCGTTGTGAACGTACTTTTATAAGTTTTCATTATCCAATTTTTCAGGAGTTGAACTCTTTCCGGAAGATTCACTCGTGAACTTAGAATATACTCATGACATAGTCCTATTTGGTGAAGATGCAGATAAATGTAGAACCATGTAACCACCCCAAGCATGCTCAGGATGCGGTTTTCCCCCGCGAAATGCAAAACTTTGCTACAGAATTATCTTGTATCTGCACCTGAACAAACGATGATAAGTGAGGCAGTGTATTGACCGCTTTACTTATATGGGCGGTCCCATCGTTGCTGATGGCCTGCTTTCTTACGACATTTCAGAATCCATACAAAAGGCGGGATCGGCTTTCGCTAAATTGAGTCACTTACGACATAGGCGAGATATCTGTCTGCTAACCGAAGGGTGATTCTAATGCGCTACAGTTCTTTTTTTCTTCCTATATGGATGTGGCAGTTTGTGGCAAATGTAGAAGATATTCAAAGGTGGAACATTTTTAACACATAAATAAACTGTGTGGGAAGATTTTGACCCAGAAGTTTGAACACACCGTTAAACGTGAGATTGAGTCATCTTCACCTCTACTAAGAAGTAGGTTGTTCATCATAAAGGGACAAAATGAAGTTGAGATATACTTTTGATTCATTCTACGGTCGAAATCTCTCAATATGACGGTTAGTATATTGAAAATCAGGAGAATATAAGTTTATTAGACAGATGTAGTTGTGCGTGTTGATAACTTCAATTATCTCGAGAGTCTCATCAGTGCTGATGGCATGGTCACTGACAAAATCTTAGGTTACAGTTTTCGATCAAAATTGTTTCTGGTGCATTGCTCATTTATCCCGAGACTATTGAGTAAACAATGTTGTTGATAGGAAATGTATGCCAGGTAAGAAAAGCTGATCAAGTGATGAAGTATTGAAATTTTGTCACCTATTCTGGTGTTACTTTGGTCCAACCACCGACTAACTCAATGAGCAAAGTTGTTCGATGTAAGGAAAAGTTCAAAGAAAGCTAGGAGTGGCCACACAAAAACATCGCACAAATCCATGAAGTAACTGTTAGCTGGACTGAGGTATGTTGGTAGATGTAGACTACCTGGTTCACGATTCAATGGTAATCGGTGGGAAGAGCAGTTGATTGACATGTCTCAAAATTGTTTGTAACGATGCAGATGCATTCATTCTTCGTGTTCGCTCAAATGCTGATCACATAACTTTTACATCACCTTTATTTTCTCTTTTACAGTTTATTTGACTAAATTATACTTCTCGAATAATACTTTTGCATTAGTATCTCTCCGACTACCGCCTATACTTCAACTACCTCTGCTACAATGGGATGTGAATTAAAAATTCTTTCTGATTGTACTAATGTGTTATTGTGAATCTAAACTGAAGTACGTTCAAACGATGTTCTTCATTGCTATTGACAAACTGACTGTATGTCATTGCTCTACCTTGCTTTTTATTCACTTCTCGTTCTGGTTGACCATAATTTCTAGCGTGCTTCTTTGTTGTATCATACAATTAATTTTCATATTTCCTTTTCATTCAACCTTTTCCACATTCATTGTTAGATATATTACACATATATATTTCAGTTTGTCAGCTTTGATACTCTTCTCTACTTGCCTATTTCCTATCTAAATATTCTACTTGTGCATTATCTTTTTCTACTCTTGTTTGGCTAAAATTGATCGCTGTGTTTTTTTTTGTTCTTCGTTTATTTAACTGAATTTTGGTTCTTTCCTTTATTTTCGTGTTTTTTTCTTTTATTCCTGATAACTAACTATCTAACTTATTTATGATGTTTTGAATAAAAACAAGAATAAAGGAATTCATGTAACGCGGAATTAACAAGGAATTTGGATTTTGTGTTACCTCTTAATTTTGTCTGCAGTTTTTTTCTTTCTTCCTAACTAGCACTACTACTACTATAACTGAAATATTCAAACAATAAACTATAAGATTTAAAAGTCTTCAATTATTCAAAGTTGCGAGTCTATGAAGTCTTTCATCCTGTTTAGTGCCAACGTTTTGAAGATGTCAAATGAGATCGCTTTTTGTTTGGTATTTTGATCAGGTACCCTTCCTTCTAGTTGGTTGGTACTTGTTCTTCATCGGAAACTCTTGCTAAAGAGAATGTGGTGTATCATTGCAATTGCTGCTATGTCGGCTTTCAGCGCTTCAGCTAAAATGTTATCTGATCCTGATGCTCTAACGCTTTTAATTTGGCCGACGGTGATGCTGATCTCTTAAATTGCATATCTGATTAAATGAAATATATATATACTACAGGTCATGATCACCGTTTTTACTATTCTTCTTGTTTATCAATAAATACGTGACCTAACACTAAATCAATCAAATTTATTGATTGAATTTACATTTGGTTTATAAAATAAAATTCAATACATTAGGATTTATTATGAAGATTATTTATTGAAAATTAATCACACAGTAAATTATTTAAGCAAGAAAACATTTAACACATAATTAAGCAACAGAATATGACGTTAAATTTTAAAACCATTTCTTCTTCTACTTCTTCTTCTGAATAAAACAAAAAACCAAGAGTAATGATTAGAATGAATTTTTTTTCTAATTAAATAAATTTACAGGTTGAAAGTACTTTCAAAAAAATCTATATCTGAATAAATAACTGAATAATTATTGAGGTTGCCGACTGTGAAAATCAGAACAAAACATATATTATAAATTCGTTTTAGTAAACGCAACTATTCCTATTGCTAAGTATTCTCTGACAAACAATACACTCGACAAGTCTTTAAATCAGAATACAGTTGAACAGGGAACAGATTGATACTGATGATAGCAAGGTTAAATGGAAGTAAGAAGCATAAGCGGAGGTGAATTAAAAACAACTTTATAGTTTATCTTTATAGTTTTTAGATGAGATGCTTCTGGAATCGAATCTGCAAGATCAACTATCGCTGATTGATAAGATTTAGCCAATCAGCGTTCAGCTAACAACACGAGTATCGATCTCCCAGTATCGATCAGGCGCTGATTGGATAGGAATCAATCAATCTGCGCACAGCTAACGCAGTCATGTTAAACTTAATCAAAGCAATCTGAGTCAGTAATCACAATGAACTGAAGTAGATTACGTTACTAGACATAATAGGTAGAAAAGTACAAGTTGATAACAGTAGGAAGACAAGTGTGTACTGATAGAGTAGTCAGAAAAGTAAAATAAAAAAACAACTGTTTTTTGTCAATAGTAAATGAAACGTTGATAAATAGATTTAAAATAATCATGACGAAACAATAAAACCATTACGTAATAAATAGTGTGTACATAATTAGACAGTGAAGAGTATAAATGCATAGAGGCAGAAAATTACCAACGAATAGAGAATGTGAAAATAATCATGCTAATGCTGATGACGATCTAATCAAAGCCAACATTACTGTTTTTTCTTCTCTTTTAATTAGAAAAAAAGGTATTGACTTTCTAATAATCAGTAGTACAAATTATTCATGAATTTTTGTAAGAAATTACACATTTATTTATAATTTCCGGATGATAAATTTCAATTGTAAAAAGAACATGTACGAAAGACATTTATGCTGTGAATACAAGGTTGCATTTTATGAAGAAACAATTGTATCGTGGTGTGTGCTACTTATATGAACGATATAAGTAGTATAAGAAGGGACGTCAGAGAAGTGAAAGAAGTCTCACGGTCATAAGAGGAAAACGTAAAGCAAATGGAGCAAAAGCAAGAAGTAAATGGAGTACCAACAGGAAAGAAAGGAAGCAACAACCGGAATGGAAGAGGAATGTAGTGTTGGAAGTCAAGACTCAAAGATGGTGTGCAAATAGAGTATTCAATGTATTGTTTTTGTTTTTAGCTAACTCAGAGCGATTTAAAACTTACACCAACAATAATGTGCATCTTTTTCCATGGCTTCCAGATGCTCCTTTATTCGTTCATCTTTAGATAAATCTAACAAAAATACAATCATTCAATTTTTATTCAACATACATAAATAAAGTCCAAATCTGCATTTTTCTTGATAAGCCATTTCATTATAAATAATATCTGTAAAAAATTTAAAAAAATTATATATGTGTTATGTAAAATAATTATTTTTTTCAGACAATCAAAATACAGCCATGTCCATATTTGTGAAATGTTACAGAAACATTATTGGACATTATTAGAAATGAATATTTGAAATACAAATGATCCGATGACAAGCACAGCACAACAACACTATAGACAAAGAAAACTCCACAGCCAGCACGAGTGGGTCACCATCCACCGTCAGCCTCAACTCCCGGAACTTCTGCAGTGCGTCCTGCCTATCTGCCTGGCTGTCGAACTCCACCAGCAGCCTTTCCTTCATCACCTCCCAGTCAGCGTCCTCCTCACCATCGTACACTGCTCTCGCGCTGACTCTTAGTAGAGTCCCCAACACCACCACCTTCGCCCTCTGCTTCTTGCTTTTGCTCCATTTGCTTCACGTTTTCCTCTTCTGACCGTGAGACTTCTTCTTTCACGACCCTTCTTATACTACTTATATCGTTCGTATAAGTAGCACACATCACACTACCACATATGAAATGTTGTCAATGATGTTAATTGATAACAATTAATAACTTTTATAATATTCACTGAATCCTATTAAAGTGATTCTGACATTCAATGTGACAATGTCTTCAACACTTTATCCTTGGAAATGAATCATCATTTATCAAAATAGACGGATCACATTATTTTAAATTCATCTCTGCTTTAAAGTGAATATCATTTGAGGATGTGAATTTTTTTTTTTTTTTGATAGACAAATTCAACTAAAAATCAAAACATCTTTGTTTTTCTAACCTGAGATATTTGCATACGTAGCTTTTCCTTCAATTGCATCCAGTGTATTCTGCATCCATTTCTCTAACGAAACAAAATAAAAAAATGCGTTTATCGATTGTTTATTAATTGTAAATACATATAAACTGATTTGAACTGTATAACATGAAAAATAAAAATATTTCAATCAGTCATCTATGCATCAGTATATTTGCTCAACAAAATATTTCTCAATGTCCTCAATTTTATTTATATCATAGAAATATAAATTATCACAACTAATTGAGTGAGTTAACTTGTATTTTAAATAATTTTTTTATGATGATGAACTAGACTAATTTCACCACACCTCTGTCTGCATTATTTTTTTCTGTCGACAAAACAAAGATTCACTAACAAAATTTTTCATGCAATCTTACAGTTTACACTAAACTTGAAATAATTAAGAAACAATTAAACATACCTAATTCATTGTTTATTTTCGTCACGCTCACTGAAAGATTCTGTGTATAATGGATTTTTCTTTCTAATACTAAAAAATTAATAAATTCACACATGTATACTATTTTTTTCTCTTTTTTGAATAAAATCAAACTGTCAATGATAAAATCTCTTATAATATTTAAAAATGAAATCATTTAACATTTAGCAAAATTTATTTTATTTAGTATGTTTAAAAAGCGGTGGAAGTGGATGGGATACACATTGCGGAAAGCACCTAATTGCATCACAAGACAAGCCCTCACTTAGAAACCTCAAGGTCAAAGGAAAAGATGAAGGCCAAGGAACACATTACGTCGAGAAATAGAGAAACATATGAGATGAATGAACAAAAATTCGAAAGAACTAGAAATCGAAGCACAGGACAGAGTAGGTGGTGGAGAAAACTGGTGGGTGGCCTATGCTACATTGGGGGGAACAGGCGTAAGTAAGTAGTTAAGTAATTAAGTATGTTTAAAAAGTGAAATATCAGATAATTAATTATTATTTTGTAATTATTATTATTTTTTCAAGTTGAACTCATAGTTTTAAACTTACAATTTGCTTCAGATAAATTCAACACAACTAATGAACGAAGTTCATCTAATAAAAAGAAAATTAAAATGTAAATAAATGTTATAATCATATTTAATTTTAAAATAAAATAATATTTTCTTAAATGCTTTTTACAATAATTTGATTTATTCTCTTATGCCATTGGTAATTTATAATGATGATGGTGATGATGATTCAATGTACAAGTACACATTGATTACTTCATTTAAACAAATTTTACATAAATCACTGTTTATTCATTTAATTGCGTTTAGAACAACAATGTTTCAAGTTTTATTTTCAGTTTGATATAATCCAATTATCTTTTTTTTCGCAATACATATACTAATGCTTAACACTTAAATTTCAATTGTTGTTCAACGCAGTATGAATAAGAAATTGTAAAACCGGCTCCTCCATGTTACATTATATATATATAGACGGAAGAAATACATGTATATACATGTTACTTGTGCACACAAACATGATAGTTGATATGCTTGAAATATCACAAGTTTATCTTGGTCGGAAAACAAGAGAGAAGATCGACAATCCGGTGACATGACATACTTCTCTAATACCAGTGTCCCATCCCTCATATTAAGTAAGTAGAAGAAGACTTGATTTGAAGTAGAACCGGTATTCTACATGCAAAAAGAAAGGACGAAGTCCGAGTCCAGAAGAGAATCAGGATGACGGACTAATGATCCTGGTCCGTGTCATAAGACGTTATATATAATACGTATTTATACTTTTAGTTTGAATAGGAAAGAGCATCGACGTCTGTGACATTGACAGTTAAGACGAACAAGAGGAAAGAACATTTGAAGTGACAATCAAATTCTAAACGACCAATAAGAATCAACATTCGTATCTAGATCGACAATAAAATTGACCAGTAGAAATTAAATAATAGGAATTGACCAATAATTCTCTTAGGATATTGGATGAATATCTTAACAATAAAGTTATTGTTGATTCTTTTTCAGTTTGTTTTTTGCAATATTTATGTGAGAAAGAGAATCGCTTGTAACAATACCTTCAGCGATATCGAGATTTTCTCTTAGTTCCCATTTCTTTTCAATAGCACGTTGAATATTCCTAAATCCTGTGATTGAGGTAAAGTAAGTGAGGCTAACATTTGAATAAAATCAACGATTTGCTATGTTACAAGAGTTATACAAGTTCGAAATACGATGAGTTATGTGATAAAAGATTTGAGAGATTAATTTTTAAATGTTACCAACATGTGCTCATCTTATATCCAACATGATTGATTGGCTTGTACCGTTTTATCACTGTAATACACATACTATCGAAAAGGTGAACAATTTGCTTCCATTCAGATTGGTTCTTAAATAATGTTTAATCATGAATTAATCATGTCAAGAGGTCAGAACTGGATAGTTGTTCTCTCGAGTGAATGTTAAAGTTGAAGCTAAGCCAATACTTAAAGAAACCAGTTTGAATATACCTGATAGTTAGAATGCACATACGTAGAAATGAAATAATCATCAGCCTTGGTTATCAGTATGTACAGAAGATTGAAATAGAATCATTGATATAGAGTTGTGCTTTCTCACGCTATATAATAACGACATTTGGTTGTCGGTTTGCGTGTGTATGTGGATGTTCTGATATTCAGAGGATATACAGGAATTTTATCGGTCATAAGATGTAGAGAATAGAGCTATATTCACATAGCACCGCATGTCATTTACCGAAGAATCTTTAGTCTAATGAAAATATGGGAGAAATATTTTTGAAATGAAAAAACGAATAACAATTACCTTTAACTCGTGGTCTAGTTTTTTTGTTTTCTTCATCTGCGTCGATGTAAAGTGCTGTTTTACAAAATAAAAACAAAACGATTCGGAAACGTGAATATCAAATGATTTAAAATTATTACAACACATCTAACTGTTAAGTCACTAGGTAAAGCTGATTTATGTTACGTATGCACGTCATTTGATATGCTATAACCATTACGAGTTTACTCTAGTCACCGAACAAGAGCGAAGATCGAGAATCCGGTGACACGACATGCTCCTCTAATACCAGTGTCCCATCCCTCATATTAGGTGAGTAGAAGAAGACTCGATTTGAAGTAGAACCGGTATTCTACATGCATCCAGAAAGTACGAGGTCCGAGTCCAGAAGAGAATCAGGATGATGGACTAATGACCCTGGTCCGTGTCATAAGACGTTATAGATAATGCGTAATAATACATTTAGGTCGATCAGTTGACAGTATTGAAGTCTGTAACATTAACAGTCTAAAAGACCAATAGGAAACATCATTTGAAGTGACATTAAAATTCTGGACGATTGTAAAATTGACCAGTAGAAATGAAACAATAGGAATTGACCAATAATTCTCTTAGCATATTGGATAACTATCTTAATAATTTATAAGTTGACTAATACATAATTCACAAAACACAATAAATCCATTGAAGTCCCGATTGCTTGCAATTAAGAGTCCTTCATACTTATTTTTTTGGGAAATAATCAATCATTTTCTAATATCTTCCAGCTGGTTCACTTATGAACTTGAGAACAGTCTGAGATTTGTATATCGAGCTGGTGGACCATGTGATTGAAAGCAAATATCCAGATCAATAAGAAAAACCAGCTCTTATCTTCCGAGACTTGACAACCGAACTGTATCTATTTGACAGTCATTGAATATTCAAATACACCGACTACCAAATGATATTTACTTATATTTTAAAATTACTATATTCTTGAAAACATATAACCAAGAGATTTTCTCCACATATCGCCAGATATAGTTAAAAAGAACTCTCACTTAGCGAATACAAAACTTCGTTTTATTATTTTCTACAGTTGATAGATACATTTATGTGTTGATAGTGATATTCTCAGAAATTCATGGAAATTGATACCCTACATTCGAATTTTCTGAACTATGCAATCGAATGTTCTGTTAATTCTTAGGTGTTCCCTTTGCTTTCAACAAAAAAAACCAAATTTAGTTGATAATTTGCTGTTTTATCAGTTGAAACCCCACATGTAGTATTGTATAGAAACATCAGCATCATCGGAACAGAACTACATACTTGTATATTTTTTCAATAGGGAACTGTCAGGATCAACGTTTTCTTGAAATAAAAAAAAAGAAAAGATGATTGAATACGGCAATCACAAATGAAAGTAGCTAATTGAAATTATCATTATTACTAAACACACATTTTTAAAGCAAGCATCATAACCTAGTATAACGTTATCTGTCAAGCTTTGCATAAGAACTGCGAAAGTGGAGATTTTGTTACTGTCATTGTAATTACATAATATTTGTGTGATAATCTAAATCACTGCCTCCTTAATGTATACAATAATAGACGGTGAACCGGACAGCTCATATAATGCAAATACACATAGGAAGTGAGAAATGAAATGGTATATGTGAGTGTTTACTAAGAGTAAATGGTTTATTCTTGCGGATTCTATTCAAATTTATCCATTACATTGTAAGTTTGTATAGATAACGATTTTCATCTCATTGAAACTTACTTGAAAGATAGAACTGCGCCCATTTTTTAAAATATAGATTTTCCAACCTTTGGCAATCTAAACAAAATGGTATGAAAATTTTGATAATCTATCCACAGATTTTCTAATTGACAACAATAAACGAAGGTCATTGTTCAGAAAACACAACAATCACACTACGGAAGATTGACAAATTTAATTGTGCAATAGAATGCATAAACTTGTTTAAAGTTACTTCACAAGTGTCAACAATTTTATAGTGTGTTTGATTTTCACAGACTGTCGTTACAGTTAACAGATCAGCTGACATGATAAACAAAGGTTGGTTTCACAGTGAATGATTATCAAAGCCACTTAAAACAAACGAACTTTGTGAGTTTGATACATCGGAAGTGATTTTGAATTTTAACACAATATTTGAAACAAATTATGTTGAACATGTCTTCTGATTGCAAAACTCTCTCAGAAATCATCTACATAAAAAAACTCACCTTTACGAAAGATTTCGCGGGCATTTTGCGGACTCCTACGCA